TCACAAAAGGTAAACCAACCTTTTGTCTATCTAGAGACGCTCCCTATATCCCAGCTGTTCCTTCACACAGGAGACAGTCCCCCATCCTCATCCTCCCTGTCACTTCCTCTGGCAGAGCCTATATCCTTCCGTTGCAGCACCACAGCTCAGCCAGATCTCCCTCCAGGTCTCATTTAATACAGACACCCTGATCCTGACTAGTAAATCACTGCATATCAAGCAGTTGGTGCTGGGCTGTGTACACATCCAGCCTGGCCTTCACGCCTGCACTGTGCTGCTTGGATCTCGTGGCTGCAGGACAATCTCAGCAGCTCGTGGTCATGGTGGAGCCTGCAGACAGGTCCCACTCAATGCCAGCCCGCATGCCTCCCGTACGGACTTGCCTATGTCTAACATGGCAGCCAGACATTCTCATGAGAACATTGTTTCTCTTTGAGCATAGAGAGAGTGAGTAGAGTTGTTTCTTTTTAAAGAGTTAAAAGAAGAGCTTGAATGAACCAAATGGGAGACCTTCTTTGATGGCTGGGGTCTTCATGGCGTGCCACATATGGGCTAGAGTCTCATTCAATGCTACCCCACCCAGGCACCCCACCACCTAACGGGAAGAAGGGTTATCCGTGATGTTCTGTCCTAATCTCAACCCAAACAGCATTTTAAAAGCTGCCCTACAGAGTCTGCATGCCTTTCCCTCTGGTATCAAAATGTAGCAGGATTTCCTGGCGAAAAAATATTCTCAGCACCTTTGGATGCAGCTCCTCTGGTCCCACAAACTGGAAATGGTGTATTTTGCTCAAGCAACCCCTGGCTTGACCCTCATCCCCCTTGTGTGTGACCTGTGATTTCCGGGCCAGCCCCAGAATCTCATGTAGCTCTGGAGGCCTGGATGTGAGCAATGAATTTAGTAGCTGCCCTGAATTCTGTAACACAGCGTGAGACCACTGCCAGGGGAGTCAGGAAGGAACTAGTAACTGCAATAGACGGAGAAGAGGAAGAAAGAGCCTGAGCTCTCCCTATGGCACATGACTCCCCTCCATCTATAGGCCATTCTGACCACCATGAGCAGTGACGGGTTCAGCTGCTCTTAATTTCAGCATCAGCTGATATTTCAGCTGGCCAAAGGAAAGTCCCCAGAGCCTGCAAAAAGATGTTCCCAGGTGTAAGCACTTGTAAATCATAACTGAAATGTCCCTGTATTATCAACACCACAGATAATATGAACAAAATTAATTCTATTCCAGCCAAAATTAGCACAGGCAGATTCTCTGGTGTGTCCAGTGACCACAAGCACAGAACAGAGCCTGCTCTGCTGGACCCTCAGGTCTTCCCCATAAGACCTGGCTGGGCATGGACACACTGTGTGTGCCAGACTCACATATAAATCATGTTTTAATACAAACCTGTGTCTCTGTGGAAAACTTTTTTGAGTGTATTTTTGAGATCAGTTTTGGAAGAAGACCTAAGCATTCAGGCACTACCCTCAATTCCTTTTAAAAGAGTGTTTTGGAGGCCAGCTCTGTGTCAAAAATGTCCATGGGCTGTCACTGCCTGCAGTCACAGCACAGCCACACCACAGGGCAGGGACCAAGGTGCAGAGCCCTCCGGCCTCACCCCTGCACAGGGACTCAGGAGAAGAGGGTGGGAGTGGAGAGAGCAGCTCTGGAGACACCCAGCGCTGCTTCTTCCTGGCCGAGCTGCTGTGCTGGGACTCTCTTCCCCTTCACCTGCGGACAAAGGCACTGCCCTGCGGCTTGACAAAGATCTTAAAGGAAAAACATTAGACAAGCAAGAAGTTAGGGCCCTTTAATTTATTATAAATACACAGAGAAATTGATTCTTCATTTTCACAATCTATGAGTGAAATTGAATTTGTAGACATGGAATCGGAGGTGGAATGAATAACATCATTCCAATGTGCATAAGGTTATAACAAGAAAAATCAAGAAAAATTTCATACCATCATATCCAAGACACTGAGAAGGAAAGCAAGGCCTGCAGTGAGTTGAGCTATGAATGCTGTGAAGAAGAAAACAAGAAGTTTTTTACTTCAGAATAATATAATGACATCATTTTCCTCAGGCCATCTTTGAGCTCTTTGTTCCTCAGGCTGTAGATGAGGGGGTTCACTGCTGGAGGCACCACCGAGTACAGAACTGACACCACCACGTCCAGGCATGGAGAGGAAATGGAGGGGGGTTTCAGGTAGGCAAAGATGCCAGTGCTGAGAAACAGAGAGACCACAGAGAGGTGAGGGAGGCATGTGGAGAAGGTTTTGTGCCGTCCCTTCTCTGAGGGGATCCTCAGCACGGCCCTGAAGATCACAACATAAGACATTACCACGAAAATGAAACAAACAAATCCGAAACAGGCACCAACCACAAGAAGCCCAATTTCCCTGAGGTAGGAATGGGAGCAGGAGAGTTTAAGGATGTGTGGGATTTCACAGAAGAACTGTCCCACAGCATTGCCCTGGCAGAGAGGCACTGAAAATGTATTGGCCGTGTGAAGGAGAGCGTAGAGAAAGCCACTGGCCCAGGCAGCTGCTGCCATGTGGGCACAAGCTCTGGTGCCCAGGAGGGTCCCATAGTGCAGGGGTTGGCAGATGGCCACGTAGCGGTCATAGGCCATGATGGTGAGAAGAAAATACTCTGCTGATATTAAGAATAGAAAGAAAAAGAGCTGGGCAGCACATCCTAGGTAGGAGATGCTCCTGTTGTCCATGAGGGAATTGGCCATGGCTTTGGGGACAGTGGTGGAGATGGAGCCCAGGTCAAGAACAGAGAGGTTGAGGAGGAAGAAGTACATGGGGGTGTGGAGGTGGTGGTCCCAGGCGATGGGGGTGATGATGAGGCCGTTGGCCCGGACGGGCGGCAGGAAGAGCCAGAAGTGCAAGAGCTGCAGCTGCCGTGTGTCTGCGAATGACAGGAGGAGGAACTGACTGATGGAGCTGCTGTTGGACATTTGCTCCGTCTGGCCATTGGAGACTGTTGAAAGAGAACACATTGACAAGTTTGGGCAAATGTCTTTGTTCCCATCTTATATTTCTTTCTAAAATCTCTTCAAAAGTTATTGTCTTTCTCTAGGGAAATACTGATGAATTCCTGTTTGTAATCTCAGCATTGCTCTGCTGAGTGAAACAACCTTCTGTAAAGGACATGAAATCCTCATCTGTCATATTGTTCCTCACCAGGGCACTTGAGGAGACCTGAGAGACAGCAGGGCTCCCCGTGACCTAGTGCAGACTCAGGAGAGCCTTTCTGCCCATGAGTGTCTTTCTGGTCACCATGCAGGTACCCTCGTTTTATTTCACCCTACACCACTCTATTATCATCTTAATAACGATGCACTTGAAGAAGAAAAGAGATTTTTATGAGATTAGAGGAGTCCAATTTCAAGGTCTATGTCTCCAGTCTCTTCTGGTTGCCCTTTGCAGCTGAGTAGAGAGGCATGCAGAAGTGTGATCTGTCTCTCTGCTGCCTGGAGCTGTCCCTGCCAGGAGATGCTCCTCTGTTGCCAGCTCTCCTCCTTGTCCCTCTTGCCAGAGGCCGTGCCTACTGCTGGGAGCTCAACTCTGCCCTGCAGAACCCTCCTGGCTGCAGCCGGGCCTTTCCCAGGGTCATCTCTGGATGACAGGGGCTTAGAAGCAGCTCTGAATAATGCTCACAAGAACTAGGGACTCTGTGCCTTTTCCACAGTGGAGAAAAAAATTCCATTTCCTCCTGCCCAACCAGTCCAACAAGAAGGGAAAACTCAAAGGACAGATCACTCGACGTACTTCTTAAAATATACTCTCCTCAATGTACTTCTTTTCTGCTGCCTGGATATATTTCTTCAAAATGAACCGCTGTCAATGTCCTGGTTAGGATCAGACCCATCCTGGCAACAACAGGCCCTTCCCACGGGCAGCTCTGAGAGGTCATTGGCATGGAAGCAGCTCAGAAAAATGCTGAGGAGAGCTGGGGTCTTTCCACCTGACAAGAATAGAGAAAGAAATTCTTATTTCCCATCCCCACCCAGCAAAATCCAATGGTAAACTGAAAGCACAGATTTCTTCCCTTCCAGGTCAAAGCTGCTCTGATGTCCTTCAGAGGGAATCTCTGCATATGATGTTGGAGTGATCTGGGGTTCTAAGCATGTCTGCATCACGTTGCAGCCTCTCAAAAGCAGAAACACCCTTCCTGCCCTGCCAGGGTCCCACCTTCACCCCATATCTTCTCCCCAAGAGCCGTGGGGAGCTCCCCGGGCAGGCTGAGTGCTGACCCTGGCAGGCCGCAGCATCCCGTCCCCCGCACCC